CATTTCTATAACCCATACCTACAGTCTATGCGCGTAAGCCGTGCGCCAAACGGGACGCGGGCGGCGGTAATTTCATCTGCGTTTGTAACGCCACGTATTGCGATGACTTGGATCCGCTCAAAAAGACACCCAAAGGTGTGGTCACTGTATTCGAGACCAGCCGTGACGGGGACCGACTCCAGGAGTCTCAGCTCAAGTTTGGCCAAAACACGGTCTCCAACGCTAACGTCAAGCAGACAATCACTTTGGATCCCAACAATAAGGCCCAGAAGATCATAGGTATCGGCGCGTCGATGACCGACAGCACCGGCTTTAACATCAAAAGTCTGCCGCAATCAATGCAGGATCAGGTGATTAGAGACCACTTCTCCGAAAATGGTTTGGAGTATAACATACTTCGGGTGCCGATCGGCGGCACAGACTTCTCCACACATAAGTACAGTCTGGACGACGACCATAACGACGACTTTAATCTCGATCACTTTGGCCTCACCGATGATGACCACCAGTATAAGGTAATAAACACTTTACCCTATTATGCTATCTATTCGTTACGCTAATAGTCATATTGTTCGCACCGGTAGATCCCGTACCTGAAGGCGGCCCGCAAAGTGAGTCCACGTAAAGTGAATCTAGTGGGCAGTCCGTGGGCGGCACCGGCCTGGATGAAAAACAACAGCGACATTATTCATGGCGGTTATCTGAAGGGAAACCCCGGCGGACAGTACTATAAGACATTCGCCAAATACTTTGTCAAGTAAGCGATTGATATTATACAGTATATTATGCAATTAATTTAACCATAATTGATCACAAAATTCACCCTGGTGCAGATTCCTGGACGCGTACAAAGCAGAGGGACTGGACTACTGGGGCCTAACCATCGAGAACGAGCCGGGAGCTGGCAATAACCCTAACTATGACTTCAACTGCATGGGCTTTAACCCTGAGCTGCAGCGGGACTTTATTAAGTCAGATCTCGGCCCAGCGCTACAACAGGCCGGCTATGGGGCCGACAAATTGAAAGTGATGATTTTCGATGACCAACGCGACCAGATATACCACTGGGCGTCCACCATATTGTCGGACAAAGACGCGGCCAAATACGTGGGCGGCACAGCTGTGCACTGGTATCAGGACCACGAGGACAATGTAAATGAGTTGCACAAAACGCACGATGTGGACCCCAGCAAATTCATCATGAACACCGAGTCCAGCTACTGTTGCAACGTTCTCGGCTCGTGGGAACAATCCAAGGCCTACTCCAGGGACATCATCCAGGTGAGAATT